GATATTATTATACTTATTATTAGTTGATACTGTAAACTATGTTGTGTTTGATATGGGACATTTAAGAGCAAGTTATAAATTTAAGTTCAAAATAAATGATTTAGGTAAATATCTTCAAAGCATGATTTTTTTAAATTAATTTATTCGTTTTTTTATAAACTACAATACACTTTTTCTTTTTTTTAAATCCAAATCTGGTATAAAAAGTTGTTCGCAGTATAATAATAAATGACGATTTCGTAGAAATTAAAAATACAAATGAAAAGCCAGCCCTAGCACAAACTTAAAAAGTGTTTTTCCTGATAAAAGAGGCAGTTTGTTATCTTTTTTTATTGAAGGAATCATCTGTTATACAGTATGTGTGTGCACAACTTGAAATTACCACTCATTTATTACTCTGCTTTAAACATGAATGAAGGAGATGTAATGTAGTTATGATGTTCTTACTTGCACAACCATTACACATTTGATACCTTGTAAGCTTCATACAAGAGACTTAGCTCCTATTGGTAAAGCTGAGCATCTCTGACTGAGGCCACTTCCAGCCTGCAAGGTGCAAGAGTCACTTGTCTGCCAGGAAAACCAAGAGAGTCCTGTCTGACCTTCCCCATCCGTGGCCCGGCGTCATTCAGACTATTGTGTACCACTGCTTGTGGAATCCTGATGCAGTTAACTAATGGTATGGCCCAGACCCGAGCCAAGAATGTCAGCTGTTGGACCGAAACTGCACTCTAAGCGAGCTCATGAACCACTGAGAAAACTACATTGTTTTAATTCACAATGAGATTAACCATGAATAACATGGGTGTTACGATGGAGCAGTGGTTAGCATTGTTGCCTCAAAGTGCTTGGGCCCTGCGTTCAATTCCTGAGGTGCTACTGCAGCTTCCTTTGGCTACACGAGTTTCTCCCAAATACATACTGGTACTGTAGGTTCATTGGTTTCTGAGAAAATTGGACCTGGTGTGAGAGTGTGTGTTTGTGTCTGTGTGTGTGCCCTGTAATAGACTGGGGTCCCATCCAAGTTGTATCCTGTCTTGTGTCCCTTGCTTTCTGGGATATGTTCTGGTTCCCCTCTAAATCTGTATTGGATAAAGCAGTTAGAAAACGGTGGGATGGATCAATAAATATTTGATTTTATTTTTGGATTATCAGATAACTACTATAAAGTGAGATTTCCACAAACACATAATTTACCAATCTTCTTAACGAGGCAATGGAAATAATGAAGAAATCCTCTTTCAGGTTATTGAGTCCTATTTAGAAGGTGCTTGTTAGAATTTTGATTTGAAGGTTGCTTAAGAAAAGGTTTTACATTGCATTTCGAAAGGGAAAATCATTGAGGGCCATTTAGGCAGTTACAAATCAATTTAAAATTTCCATTGAATATTTAGGTCGTAGCTCTGCACTCGATATTTATTGTCAAGGAACACATTAAGAACAATGTATTCTGACAAACAGAGGACATTTTTTATTAAATTGTTGGTTGATTAATTTACATAGATCTGTTCTCCTAGTCAGGAGAATGTTTTTTTTATTTATTACATAAAATAATACAATTGCAGAGGCTTAAACGCAGCATTGTAAAATGTTTTTCAATGTGACTCAAACAAGGCAGAGACTGATTGCTCAGTAAGGCCGCTTGTATACAATGCAGTAACAGTGTGATAACACTGGTGTTTAATGCTGTGCAGAGGGCAATATGCATTGCATATTAGTACTGCAGTAGAGCTATGTAAAAAACGATGGCAAAGCAACATGGAATTATTTTCTAAAGGCTTTAGTCTTAAAAGGGATTTTTAAGGATTTTAAGGCTAAAAATCATGGCACCTTCCTTCAGCTTAAGTGTTGATTAAGGAGGTTGAGACAGTGGGTTTCTAGACTGTGTGATTTGGGTATAGGGATATCATCGAGTCCCTCAGTGATGAGGTTTATTTGACACATCAGCCAGCCAAGGCCACTGAAAACATCTGCGAACATCAGCATCCCTGGTCTGTCAAGAGATTTTTAATTGTCAAAGGAACATGTCTGAAAATGTCCCTGAACGCTCCATCACTGTAAATACATTTACACACTCTTCATTTATCTTGTTTTCTGTACTTGTCTCTGATGCTCTCTGGCTATGAAATCAGTGTTCAAGGATAGAGGAAATGCTCACTTTACAAAGCAGTTTTAAAAAAGAACAGAGTTAGACAGATAGTCCCAGGGAGTCAGAATGGCAATATCTCAGCTGAGACAGAAAAACGTTAATTCAAAGAGATTGGTTAAGTCTTTTGCACTAAGCAAAGGAACTTATAACACCCTTACAGTTGCTATGTCCAACTGTCAGAAGACAAAAGGTTTTAAGTCTTAATTTCAAGCCAAACCAGATCCGATGGTGAAAATATTTACTAGAAAAATAATGTCTCTGACGAGACACTATGAAAGTTACTCAAAAAGGCTCTCCCACTAAAACAGGGAATGCAAAACACTTCAACTGTTGCTCTGTCAGACTGTCAGACTACTGTACTGTATATGTGAAGACTTAAAAAACCAGGAATGTGGGACATGAAGATTAAGGACCAAAATTGGGCGGGTAAAAGATTGGGTTGGTCCAACCTGAGCTCAATAATTACTTACCATTTAATAAAGAGAATATGGTTCATGCACACAGATCCTCCACAAACACACTGCCTAACAGGATGATCTGCTTCCCCAGGCTGACAAAGAACAACAACCAACCCAGCTTTTTGAACCCTATTTGCCAATTATGTGTGCAAAGTGAGCAATTCCACAATTTATCTCACTCTCTGTAACTGCTACCCAGGGCACGATCATTTTCAAACTGTAGGTAGTTTGCATATTTATTAGACTATTGTTTATGTGGTTTTAATTTGCTGTGTGTATGTATACTGCTGTATAACAGAACTAAAATGTTTTGGAAATTAATCAAAATAGGCAAATTATAATTTATAAGAACTTTACAAGCCATTTAAGCAGTTTGTTTTGAAATAATATAAAATTAATGATACTTATTCTGTTCCAAAATGCAAACTTGAAGGCACTTATTAGCTGATGATATTTTGCCTTTCATTGTCTGGGAGAAAGGCGATTTGGCAGAATTTGAGTTGACAGTCAAAACAGATAATAACTCAAAGTGACAAATGCCTTTTCAAGAAATTCCAAATCATGTTTTTGATTTGAATAAGGGTCACTTGAGAAGAGCCAGAAAACTCTGAGTATCTTTGTAGAAAATGAAGGAATGTATTTACAACACTTAATAAATGACAGCCGTGTGGAGAGCAATGAAACTTGCACGCTGCCATAGGACCAGTGGTTCTCTTTAAGCAGCAGTTCTTGTTCTCTGTAATCCACTGACTGTCTTATAGGTGACACAGAGAACCTCGTCTTTCTCTTTTAATCAAATTTCATACTCAGGATTTAGTCTTTCTCTCATCTTTAATTGCATTACTGGGTTGGGGATTACCTACTGTACGTAACACAAGTATTAGACTTAATCTTCCCCCAGAAGCCTAAAACACCCTAAAGCAAAAAAAAAAACAACAACAACAACAAATGGCTAGAAAGTTAAAGAACAGGACAGTTGTTAATATTGAACTGTGTCCTGTAGTCTCAGGACACTTTTGCATTACAAAAGACTGCTTTCTTGAATTGTCCCTGAAGTACAAGTGACTTAATAATATTTTGTGATATATGTGTGACTTAAGTAAATTGGTAGCTGCAAAGTAGGGAATCTAAACTAAATGATCTAAATGTGTATTTGCTGTAGGATTGTTTTTTTTTTCTGTTTTTACACTAAGAGACAAAATCGTAGCATTCTTGTTTTAGAAAAATGCAATGGACTTTATCTGCATTATATATATCAAAATATGTGATTCTTCTTATAATGGATGATTTTTTTGTCTGACGAATTTTTTTTGATGCTGTGCTTTGTACAATTTTTCTATGCAGCAGAATTAATAGCACGATTCATGAAAAAATAATAACTCATTGACCTTTCCTTGTAAAAAAGAATGCAACATCATATACCAGTATTATGGTACTGTACAGTATATTTGCATTCTTACTGTGATTTTCTTTTCCATAAAGCATTTTACATAAAGCTGCTTTACCTGAACTTATAATTTATTTGCTAAAATAATTTATACTAGTTCACAATTTACCCTGGGAAATCTATAAAATGTTTATGTCATCCTACTGTATATAATTATTTATTATGATTCATATGAATTCTTATGATTGCACCAATTTAAAATTGAAATGAAACCACAAGCAGTATAATAAAACAAGATGAATTACTACGGACATCTTCCATAGTAAATTTTTTAAAGGGTTCTAATAAGGGTTTCTGCTGAACATTAAGAGAATCTTGTCGTACAATATGATAGAAGTCTGTGCATACAGTACAAGCAAATTGATGCAATGTGCCATTTAAACTTCTAATGGTATTGAAAGTGTTACTCTCAGAAAGCCACTTAAAACTACTGACTTTCTTTCTTTTTCTTTCGGAACAGAAGCAATGGCTGGAAGTATTTTGTTCTTGTTACATTCATGTTCTGTGCTGATTTCTTTTCCCCTAATTTCTCTTCCCACTTTCTCCCTGTAGAGTAACTAATGCAAAGCTATTGACAAGTGTGTAATGAGAACTGAACTGTAATTGAGCTCTGCTGAGTTTGAAGTCAATTGCCTATAGTGTTTCCTGATTTATTTCCCTGCCCTAACTGATTTGTTATTAAAGAAATCCATGTGTTGTTTTACATGAACAGCTGATTAAACAACAGTGTTGTATATATTATACAACTGATTTTGAGATTTTTTTGCATTTATGTTATGTAATTTAATTGCGTGTGATTTGTCATAACAATTTCTTGTAACATGGCAAATATGGATGATTCTATGTTTATAGTTGATAAAAAAGTCATACTGTACAATCGAGATCGCAAATGCCAGGCGATCCTGTTGTAACTGGTTACTAAAGAGACACGTCTGTCTCCCCACAGCTCATTCACACCATCAGCGTCGTTGACAGGGACGAACCACAGACAGGACACCGCTTCTACTTCACTCTGGCTCCTGAGGCTGCTAACAATCGGCACTTCACCCTGTGGGATGTTAAAGGTGAGAATTACTTGAAAGTCACCTAGAGATGAAATGCTTTACCTGCCTTTAAAATACAACCAGTATGAAGTAAAATGCTTAGTGTGGTCATCTGATAAATAAATATGGTGTAATACAGTACTTTAATCAAATTATAAGTGTGCATCATTTTAGCAGGGTAATAATTAAACATTAAAACCTATCCTGTTCATTATATTCCAAAAACATACAGTTAAGTTTCACGTTACTTTCTGAAGCTTGTCTTGCAAAAGTTGATGATTTAGTTAAATCACCAGTATTGTCTGGGTCACTATGAAAGACATAACCTATCAGGTAACAATTCAGGTAAAACTATTATGGATTTGGAGGTGATATATATTGCAGGCAACTAAACCAACCCTCTATTAGGAATATCAAAGAACTTGCTTGAAAGAACTCAGAAACAGTTTGTACACAAAGTTGTGCATCATGAACTTCAAATTCTACACAAACATTTCTTGCAAGAGCATTTTTGCTCCCAAGGTTCCCACAATCAATTATTTTTGTATACACCAAAAGAAGTTATCTTAAAAATCAGTCATTGCAATACATTCATAACTTCAGGAACACGTGTATGGAATAGATATGTATTCAGGAATACATCATTTGTGAACCTAAATTTTTTCATCCTTTTGTTGAACATAATGTGTGCCTAACACATTAATTCGGATGCATTACAAATCACATTATAGTCATGTTCCATTGCATTTGCGTATTATGATTTTGAGGTGGAAGATGATGCTTTACATGCAAATCTAGAGAGTAAAACTACATTTTGCTTTCTTCGTGAGAAACAATGTTTATTTTCCTTTCAGTGAAAGCAGTAGGATAGGCTCCGGCTCTCTTGTGGCCTTTGGGAGAAAGAGTAGTTAGAATGTGAATGAATGGATGGGTGGAGGAAAGACACTCCTTTCCAAATTCTGGAATAGGTCAATGGAAGTCACATAGCCCATAAGAACTGTGGTCTCATAAGCTTAGTGCAATGCACATTTCCACCAGGCAATTGGTATTGAAAAGGAGTTTAATTTATTTAAAATGTATTTTTTATTCGAATCGTTGATTAGCAGAAACAATGCAAAGAAGCAAGCAATTCAGAACACGTGTAATAACAGTTAACAAAGAACCCAAAAAGGCAAATATTATGAGGCAATTCCAATGCTCTTCTCATTTTTCATTGTGGCAGAATATTGCCAATGTTTTGTTTACCTTATTATAAAAAACTCCTCTGGAATAGTTCATCCATGCCAGAAAAAAAAAAAAACAGCCTGCCTCTTTGGAGATGGTGAAACAAGCCAGCGGTGACAAAAGGAAAAGAAATATACTAAATTTCAGTCGGTGTTTTACTCCGCTCACAAGGAAATGGCAAAGGGAGAAGCAATTAAAGAGACAGATGAGATGAATAAATGCAATGCCTGACTTATTAACAAAAGAGTTTTCACGGCTTCCAAATAGCTAATGGAATAGTGCTGTAGCAGTTGTTTGTTTTCTTTCAGTTTTTCAGATTCAGGCTTGTATTCACAAAACATTCATCAAAGCATGCAACTTCAAGCAACTTTTTTAAGGAAAAATTTGTGTTCGATAGTGATGTGTTTGCAGTTGCTAATCTATGTGTTGCTAAAGAAAGTGTAGGGCTTTATATTTTGTCATCTGTATACAGTATGTTTGTCAGATTATGGATAACAGTATTTTTTTCAACAGAACAATGCATCCTATGCAGTATATACAGTATTAACAAGGACAGTTTGATTTTTGTTACTCTGAGGAAACGTTTATAGTAGAGATGTCCCCATCATTTACTTGTCCTTATGTATTTTTGTATTTCAAAGTGAAATCCTTTAAAAAGCAGGCATAGCCCTTTAATCGATAGATATGTTTTATTATTTGCATGTCAGTCCCTCTATCTGTCTATGCTTTGCTCCACAATTGTCTTTTTATCTAATACATGTGACTCATCAGAAAATCCTAAAGGAGAAATAGCAAAAGAAGCAAGTGATCTGATTTCATAAAAAATCTCCATGAAATAGTTCTCACAAAATCTAGACAAAATAGTAAATTAATTCAAATATATTCAAATGACAGATTTATAGTTGATAATGAGTTTGTAATGGAGTGCAAGATCATTCTAACTTATGTTACCTTGTCATCTCTAATACTGCTAGCTTTCTCCCTGCCTCTTAGTGTATCAGCTTGTCTATCTGTGACTATCTCTCTCTTTATACTTCTGTCTCCCAATTTCAAAAGGGAAAAGCTGTATCTTGGTACATCATCATCTACCCCATCTGTGAATGAGCTTGCAAGTGCTGTAAATAGATTTTACTGCTTTTTGTCTGCAGGAAGGGAGTCTGAAGTAAATACATTACACAGTCTAGGAAATAAATTTCTTATTTTAAGCTCTTTTTTGCTGACTTATTTTTGCAATGCGATCAATTGTTCTTCTGGTCACCTCAGACAGTGTTAGATATCATTAATTCAGATTCTGTGTTAAACACAGCTCCTAATGAACTCACCACTTGTTTTTGACTGTTTCATTTAATGTCTTTAACAAACATCACTCAGCATGGAGCTACAGGAGCTTTAATGACAATTTTTGTGGCTTCTGTGCCCTAAAGGAAAAAAACAACTTTTTTGATAACTCTAACTGGAAATTATTTATATATTTATGCAATTCAAATAGCAATAGGCATAGTAATATACAGTACAGTATGTTGTGGAAAGAAAATATCTGCACAGACGTTTGTGGAGGCCATCATTCATGCACAGATGAATAAAGTTTGCTGCTGATGATAATAATGGTGAATGCATGTATTTAGTTTTGACTGGCTTGTTTTTTTCAATACCACCTGCACCATGTGCAGTAGTAAAAAATGTCAAAAAGATGAGATCTTGGAGGGATGTGAGCAATTCTATACTGTATATTCAGTATAATATAAATACAAATATATATTTGGAATTTTATAGAGTTAGAGTTAGAGTTAAGAGGCTGTTCATGGATAATTGATAATTTTGGGAAGAACCAGTTCCCAGAGGCTGTAGTTTTGTCTTCCTTAACATTTCTTCCAAAATGTTAGAGAAAGGTTTATTAGACTGTTGTATTTACATAAAAGCTTAAGCTTCAACTTTTTTATTCTGAAATTGTTATTTTGTAAATACAGTACCCTGTCTGTAAATATCAAAATCTGTATCCACAAGTATAATAAATGAAGGTTTTGATAATGGCTCCTTAACAGTCAACTCCACAGAGTCAGGATTTGCAGACATTCTAATGCTACAAATTCAATTGCTGGAGCTCTCTCCCTAAGATCAAAAGAGAACCTAAATCTGATATTCAAAACCCATTTTTCACCTTTCTTGCTACTTAAGCTTCTGCTTTATTTCCATTGTTTTGCCCTTTAAGTTTATATTTAAATATAACACTCTGATACACTTGTGAAAAATGTAATATAACATAATTATTATTTGGCACTGTGTGATTGATACAGACATCAAACACATTATTTAGAATCAGGAGCTGTATTATTTTTGTTTTCATGCTCCCTAACTTAGGGTTGTAAAATACTATTCAAAGTTTTACATTTAGGTAAGGACGCTGGTGACAACATGCAGTACAAGCTCATCACCTGAATTATGTATTGTAGGGCCATATGCTTCTTTCTGGCCACTGCAAACTGTTGAGCTCACATGTCAGATGGCAGCTGATACAGCTCTTGTTGACTTCACCATAGACTTGCAATTGCCTTTCCATGACACACTTCCTCTTGTCCAAATCCAGGATAGCTTGCATAATTATGGTTGATTGTCAATTCGAGAAAGTGAACAATAAAAACAAAACAGATGGATGAAACTATTGATGCCCTATAACAGGGTAATTCCTTGAGTATTGCAAGTAAAAATTTAATATTCAACTAACATAAAGTATCAGTTGACACTGTAGCATGTAAATTAAAAGTCAATATGTAACGAGACAACTTTTTTGCCATCCATCTGCACTTCATTGCCTCCAGATATTGTTTGTTAGAGATTCCATTTTATTGACTTTTGATTTAAATGCTATGGAGCATTAATTTTGGGAGTTAACTGAATACCAAACTCTCCTTCATGACACTCCAAACAGCCAAGAAACTCCCTGTTTTTAACTGCACAAATGAAACACAAAGAATTGATTTGAAGTCCTAATATCTGCTTTGACCAGCTTTGAAATCGACATCTCATAATTGTATTGAGAGGTCACATTAAACGTCATACAGTAAACTGTAAAACAAAAATATAAAATTCCAATACATGGCTAGAATCCTTTATGGCATGTCGTCTGTGACTCAGTATTATCTCTCTGTTTCTAATGTTTTTATTCAAGTTACTTAAGACTTCAAAATGTTCACTTTTTGTTTTATCCTTTCACTGGCACATCTGTAACCTGATTTTGAAAAACACTGTGAAATACAGTAGGTTTGATGTTGGGTCATTTCAATATTCCCTGCAGCACCAGCATACTTTAACAACAGGAGCAAAGGTATTGAGTGATACTACTACAAGCACTTAAGCCTCTTCTGAAGATGTTTCTCATAAGTGCAGTTGATTTGTCAAAAAAAATAGGAATCCAAGCAGCGGAATCATGCAGAGAATAAATAACAAGGGAACAGAAACTTTGTGGTCCAGTGGGGAAAAAGGGCAGGGCTTATGTTCCATGGTCAGGCCAATGCTTTATCACCAGTGCATTATATATCAGTCCTGTACTGTACCTGTCTTGAGCTCCATTTTGCTGATGGGTCATACTGTAAAACCAAAGTACTGCTATACTGTAAGTAGCTCTGTAGTAATTTAATATACAAGAAGAACATGCTTTGATAATGTTCTGTACAGTTCAGCTCACAATTGACTGGTCAAAAAAGACACGATAAGTTACAAAAAATAAAGATAAAGAGCTTTTCTTTTTACAGGGCTCTGATTTATTGTTTTGAGGTCTGAGGGGTCACAACACTGACATA